GTCTTGGTTCTACTTTTTTTGTATAAATCCTGGTCTTCACTGATAGTGCTTCCCTTTAGTAAGAAGAGTATCTTTTGGTATATTTTGTTGGTACTTTTGCTGACTGCTAATTCTCTCATTTTTATTTTTCAGAAAAAAAATATTTATTTGACCCTATTTTAATGTATAATTTTAATATAAAATTATAAACTGACAGTATTTTCAAGATTTTAAAGATTTAAAGATGTTATTCCAGTACCTTCTAGTTAGCATTGTTGTTAAAAGTAGGTAATTGTCATGGATATCATTAGAATATTTTGATTCTGGCTGCTTTGAAAACTTCCTGTCTTTAGTTTTCTACAAATAGATTATGGTTTGCCTACATGTAGTTTTCTTTTTTATTTTTCTTGCTTTGTGTACCATACTATGCTTGAATCCCTGTATTAGAAAAAAGTTTTTTGTCCCATTCTCATTCTTCTCTTCTAGAACTTTAATTATTCATATTTTAGACCATTATATATCATCCCCCAGGTCCTTAGGTTATCTCCATTGATCAAATTCTTAATGATTTACGAGTCTACATACAGTTCTGTATACAAACTTCCTAAAACTTGTAAAAATTCTCCCATAGGAAAACATGATAAATGGTATTTGGGTTTCTACCATAATGCAAAAAGCTTACTTAAACCACAAATGAACTATGCTTAACTTCACCATAACAATACTAGTGAATAAAATAAATAAAAATACACAGTATTTTGTAGTATCATAGTTAATATGTCCTAACATTTACAGTTCACTACTAGCTAGGCTGGTCATTGTTCCCAAAATACTTTTGTTTACTTTCCTTTTTTTTTTTGTTTTCAGGAAAATATTCTCAATCCCTCTGTGGTTCTCTGAACAAACACCACTCTTGTGCCCCCATACTCCCACACACACCAACCATACATGATATAAGTAGAGAAAACAGGTCTGAACTTTTGAGCTTTTCTGGGAACAAAAATAAGTAGAGGTGCGAGGGCTGCTATTGCCATTTACTCAAATCTGCACATTTTGTTGTGTAATGAGATCACATCCAACTTTAGGGTGATAATATAATATTTATGATGAGTGGAAAAGTCATCTTGAATGTGGTAAAGTAGTTTTAACAATAAAAATTTAAAATTTTCTTAGTTAATTTGGTTCTCAGAAATAAGGAGAACTGTTTTCAAAAATCTGTTTTGTGGATAATGAATACGTGCATCAAAATATATGTGTACTTGCACATACTATATTCAAGCTCTTCTGTATAGCTTCAAAGGGTTTTGGATTGTAGGAAATGCATAAGGATTACTTCTGATATGTTTTAGTAGAGGAAGTAATAGGCTTTCAAAGTTTCTTCTAGTCTCTGTTTTTATGAAATCATTTTCTTTATATATTTGCCTGGATTATACTTCATTTGGAATTCAATCATTTCTCTTTCTGTCCTTCAAAACTATTTTAGATTGCATGTGAAGATATTGAAACAATGAGGTTGACCTGAAGATTAAAAAGTAAAATCATACACTGGAAATGAATTAATACATAGGGCTATTTCCTTTCCTTCTACAGGGCAACCCACAGCAGATTTATTCCTTCCTGGAGTTATTAAAATCTACTTATTGCACCCTATGGATCTGAAATGGGAAAATGGAGACAGTTTTTCTCCTGGTCTCAGATTGTCTTCTAGTTTAAAAAATAGGATTTGGATCACATAAGGAAAAGATAAAAATCTTGTTGAGTCAGTATGTCTAAATTAGCCTAAAGTTAGAAAACTGTGTCACACACACAAAAAATTAGAATGTGTATAAACTGCCAAAGGGATGTAGTTAATTTTATGGAGTAGTTTTGTTTGGTCAGATTAATGAAAGAAAGGTGCTCCATATGTATCAATATACAAAAAACAGTTGTCTTTGAAGGGTTCTTATTGCTTTGAGACAATATATAAACATGGAATGAAATTACATCATGTCACTTAAATTAGCCTATAGAGGAAAAGACTATATTCTCTTTCCCTTTCAAATATTCCTAGGGATAAAAATTAGCAATTAGATCACCATGTAAGTAATACTGTCTTAGGAACTTTAGGTTTTGTTTTCAATTTTTTTTGTATTTATTAATTTTTTTTAGGGGAAAGGGGAGAGAGAGAGATGTCAATTTGTTGTTCAACCTATTTATACACTCATTGATTGATTCTTGTATGTACCCTGACTGGAGATCAAATCCACAACCCTGGCATATGGGGATGACACTAAGCAACTGAGCTAACTGAGTAGAGCCAGGTTTTGTTTTAATAGTTCACTTTAAGAATGAAAGTAAAAAAGCTTTAAGTTCAACTGAAAGTTAATAAAGACAATTGTGAAATTAAGAAATAATAAGATCCAGCAGAGAGGACATCTTTGGTTAATCAACTATATTTTATCTATCTAATATTCCATTTCAGGAAGCAAAAAATGTCTTGAAGCAATTAAAAACTTTTAATGAAGCGTGAAAGATTTGATCATAATTTTTAAAATTGTTTTTCAGATTATATACAATATACAGTTTCTTCTTTTATTAGCATAAACACTCCAACTATTATAAATTATTTTACCTAGAACAAAATAATAACACAATGAGTATATTCTTTTTGTATATGCCTTAACCCTATCTAAAAATAACACAAATTTATTTTGCAATATAGATTATAACCATAATTTAAATAAATACCTAAGATTTAATACAGACTTGATATTTCTTTTATTTAATACATTGAAAGATAATGACATCAAAAGTCCTGATATTTCTAATTCACTATATGTAATATATCTTTACTGCTTTCCCTTTGTCTATCTGTGAACTTATAGTAGAGATTCACCATACATTAAGAGGTAATAAATAATTAAGAAAAAATTAAAAAGAAAGCACTATTTCTGCTATTTAGAATTCATATACCATGTTCATGGATTGGAAGCATATACCATGTTCATGAATTGGAAGAATTAATATAATCAAAATGTCCGTACTACCCAAAGAAATTTATAGATTCAACACAATTTCTATTAAAATAACAATGACATATCTCACAGAAATAGAACAGACATTTCAAAAATTTATATGGAACCATAAATGACCCTGAATACTGCAGCAATTTTGAGAAAGAAAAACAAAGTAGGAGGGATCACAATACCGGACATCAAACTCTACTACAAAGCCACTATACTCAAAACAATGTGGTACTGGCACAAGAACAGACCCATAGACCAGTGGAACAGAACAGAAAGCCCAGAAATAACCCCAGGTCTATATGGGCATCTAGTATTTGACAAAGGGGGCAGAAGCATAAAATGGAGCAATAATAGCCTCTTCAACAAATGGTGTTGGGAGAGCTGGACGGCTACATGCAAAAAATTGAAATTGGATCATCAGCTGACACCATACACAAAAATAAACTCAAGATGGATAAAAGACTTAACTATAAGTTGCAACACCATAAAAGTCCTAGAGGAGAACATTGGCAGGAAACTCTCAGATATCCCATGCAGCAATATTTTCACTGATATGTCCCCTAAAGCAAGGGACATAAAAGAAAGAATAAACAAGTGGACCTCATCAAAATAAGAAGCTTCTGCATGGAGAAAGAAAACATCAGCAAAATGAAAAGGGAGCCAACCATTTAGGAAAATATATTTGTTAATGATACATCAGTTAGAGGTTTGATCTCCAAAATATGTAAATAACTCACACAACTCCACTCCAAGAAGACAAACGATCCAATCAAAAAATGGGCAAAGGACCTGGGCAGACGCTTTTCCAAGGAAGAGATACAGAGGGCCCAGAGACATTTGAAAGAATGTTCAGCATCACTAGCCATGAAAAAAATGCAAATTAAAACCACAATGAGATACCATATCTCACTGGTCAGAATGGCCATCATAAACAGATCAACAAACAACAGGTGCTGGCGAGGCTGTGGAGAAAAGGGAACCCTAGTCCACTGTTGGTGGGAATGTAGACTGGTGCAGCCACTGTGGAAAACAGTTTGGAATTTCCTCAAAAAGCTGAAAATGGAACTGCCTTTTGATCCAGTGATTCCCCTGCTGAGACTATACCCTAAGAACACCAAACACCAATTCAAAAGAACCTATGCACCCCAATGTTCATAGCAGCACAATTTACAATAGCCAAGTGTTGGAAGCAACCTAAATGCCCATCAGTAGATGATTGGATCAAAAAACTATGATACATTTACACAATGGAATACTATGCAGCAGAAAGAATAAAAGAACTACTACACTTCGTGACAACATGGATGGAACTAGAAAGCATTATCCTAAGCAAAATAAGCCAGGGAGCGAAAGACAAATACCATATTATCTCACCTATAAGCAGAACCTAACCAACAGAGCAAAGATGCAAGGAAAATATGACCAGCAACACTGAAAGAAAAAAAGAAACCAATAGAGTCAAGAGGGAAGGAGGGACGGGTAGGCGGCGAAAAGGGAAGGGACAAGTCAAGGAACATATAGCAAGGACTTATGGACAAAGCTAAAGTAGGGAAGGATTGAGGAAGGGAGGTGAGGGAGGGAGGCAGGGGAAAGTGGTTGTGGGATGACAGAGAAAAATGTATTTGAACAAAAAATAAAATTAAAAAATTATTTATTTAAAAATTTTTTAAAAGAATTCAAATCAGAGTTGGTTCACAGGGGCTTTTAGACTTGCAGAATAAAATATGTATTAATTAATATCTGCAATTTGACCTAAATAAAGCTAATTAACATGTTATTTTATTACTGAAACATTGAAAATAACCAACCTCATCACCAAATTTACTTGAATTCTATAAAATTCTAATTTTATAGACACGTAAACTATCGTAACTACTTGAATATCTTGACTTCAAAATAAATGAATAAAATTCCAACTAGAACAGTTGAGTTGCTCATTGTATGCTCTATACATTTGCAAAACATCTGCATATATATATATATATATATATATATTCAAAATATTTGGAATCTTACCTGTAACAAGAAAACTGCATCTCCCAGCTCCAGCTTCATTTATGATGCTACAGTTATAAACCCCATAGTTTTCATTGGAAAGACTCTTCACCGGGTACTCTGTGTACTCTTGAGAGTCAAACTGACCCGTCCGTAATAGTTTGTTGCCCAAGCGCCACTCATAGGTCAGTACCCGTATAGGATAAGCTCTCAGAACCCTGCAGCTCATAGTGATACTTCGTTCTTGTCCTTGTCGGATTTCCAAAAATGCTGGTTCCACAGCTGGGGGATCTGTAAGAAAGAAATGTTCAAACAGATAAAATACCTATATTGTGATAAACCAATGGCTATTCTCAACGTGAGAAGCTATGTTTAGGAACACGTTCAGCAACAGAGAAGGAGTATAAGAGGTGGTTAGAGACTATAATTAGGTCCAGGAGTCTAAGCTGTGGGTGGAAAACTGATCTACTGAGAACGGACAGTGAATGAAATTCATTGCCTCAAAAAAGCATTAGCATGTGAAATTAACAGAGTTTAGTTTTTCTTTCTAGCTGCTTCCCAAAAAAGATTGTCAGGACTTGTTTTGTTTATACTGTTAGCAACCAAATGATGTTCTGGGTATGAAATGCAGCCTCCAAACTAGAACGAAACTTTGAAGCAGATTGAGAGATTGGTGAATTCTATCATTTCCATGTGAGGCTCAGCAGTCACGAGGGTTTGAGTACTCATTATTTAATAAAATAAGTAGTAAACGTATATAAATTTAGTTTCTAAACAATTTTGCCTGAACCTCTTTGACTGTCAATCATAATACCATGCATTAAACTTAAGAAAATGCTACAAATTATAATACAGGCAGGTGTGATTTTCAATCAGAAGCAATGGCCTGCCTCATTTATCTAAGTTGTGATTTTTTTCCACATAATTAAAACTTGCTACACTTCGTACCTAATCTATTTGTTTTTGATGGGAAGATTTCTAAAAGGTGTTTCATACTTCTCTCTTTATTTACAGTAGTCAAAATATAATCCTTTTCTTAATGACCACAATGATCATAATTAATGACAATTACTTCCTGGATGCTAACAATGGGCTTCATTTAATTAAAAAAAAATTGTATGTGACCACTCAGGATTGTACTGCAGAACACAATCACATCCTTGATTAGATATCTATGTCAACCTCTTGAGCTCACAATACAAAAACTGTACAACTCTACCTGTGATCCCTTCCATCAAGATGCTAAAAAGTTTTAGGACTACCACACCAAATGTACCCCACCTGATACTCTTTTTGTGTTAGTTCATATACTTTTTATATTGCTCCTCTCACTGTCAGCTATTTAATTGATTCTTCTTGTTTCTTTCAACAAATACCTTTAAACTATCCTTCTAATTCTAGTTTTACTAATGAATTTAATGTTTTAGCTCTTCCTATATAACTTCCAATAATTAAAGAAATGAATGATTAGAAAATAATCTTGTCTGCTTGTAAGTTTATGGTCTAAGACAATAGACAGACATAAAAATAGCTAATTTACAAAACTGAAGTACAAACCATTCTAGGGTAGAAAGTAAAGACGTGAATAAGGAAGACTGAGCTGGCAAAGCGTCTCACGGAAGATGACACTTGAGCTGTGTCTTCCAGGATATACAGAAAATAATCAGGTTATCAAGCAACAAGGGAAGATATTCCAGGTAGGGGTATTAGTACCTGCAAAGGTAAGGAGGATATAGAGAGGTGGCGGTATTCAGAGAAATATGAATTAATTAACATAGCTGGTGCACAAATATACATGAGGACTTGGGAGAAAATAAAGATAGAAAGAAAGGCAGAGACTCTATTTAAGGATCGTTGAATATTATGATAGAAAAATCAGATTTTATCCTGTTAGTATTAAGGGTTTTCAATTTTTTTAACTTTATATGATTAAATCAGTCCTACAAAAGTTATTCTTTATTTTAGAAAGGATGCTGTGGCGGATAAGAAGAACATAAATCTCAAGGAAAGAGTGTAGTTAAAGTGGTAACAGCAACATCATTGGTGAAGTCCTGAAATAAGGCAATATCAATGGGACCATACATGATGCCTTGTTCTGTGTGTGATTCAAGAGTGAACAGTCTCCAGTTTTGGGCTGCAAGGTAGATCTATCAGATCAACTCTGACAGCTCAGTTGTCCAAATCATCTATACAATTGTTGGGTTTTTTCGTTGTTGTTGCTTTTTTTAAATTTGCTTACTTATTATTCTACTTGGATTAATTTAAAAGAGTATTAGTTTTTTTTAATCCCTTCTTGTAGTTTCATCCTCTTTTTTTGTTTTACATGTATTGAGTCTGTGTTATTAAATACACACGAATTTAAAATTGCTTTGTTATTGAAATATTGAAGCTTTTACCATTATAACTTAATCTCCTTTATTCTTCTTAATGTTTTATTATTTAAAAGTCTATTTTGTCTCATTAATATAGTTACCTTGGCATTCATTTAGTTATTGAATGTTATGTCTATTCTATTCTTTTTGATGCTTTTAGTAGTTTCATATTTTATAAGCATTTCTTTTCAACAGCATGTGGGTATATTCTATATTTTCCAGAAAGTCTGATGATCTCTTTACTTTACTCAGAACACTTAACACTTCATTCATATTACATTTACTGTAACTACTGGTATATTTGGGTACAGATGTACCTCCTTATTTTGTACTTTCTAATTGGTTTGTGTTGTTTTATTTCTTTGATTATTTTCTTTTGGATTGATGGATTACTCCTTTATTCCAACATTTTTTCCTAATACTAGTTTGGAATTTAACTACTCTGACTACCCAAACACGTGCAATATGCATCTTAAGTTATCTAAAAACATCAGTTAATGCCTCTACCATTTTGCTAGACAAAATAAGAATCTTAGAACACTTTGGTCCCTTTATTACCATTCCAACATTTGTTACAAAGCCATGAATTTCAGTTCTCTCTTGTTTTTATTAAATCCTATTGGATGTTATTATAATTTTATACCTGTAAATTATCGATGTATATGCTAGCTTATTCAGATTTAATTCCCTCTTTTATTATGGACCTTCTAAATCTGTGACCACTTTCCTTTTGCTTAAACTACATCATTCAGAATGATCTTTAGTGAACTTTCTAAACATCATTTTCTAAAAATATTTTAACCTCATTATTAAAGGATATTTCTTTTGTGCACATGATTCTAGGTTAGCAGCTATTTTCTTTCAGCACATTAGGATATTATTCTACTGTTTTCAGATGACCATTACTGCTGTGAAGAAATAGGTCAAAGTCTACACTTTAAAGTGCATGTCTTCTTTTCTACCACCTACTTTTAAAATCTTCTTGTTTTTGATACTCTACAGCTTCAACATAATGTTTTCAGGTATGGGGTTTTATTTTACTTATAACTAGGGATTTTCTGTGCTCCCTAAGTCTGTTAAGTTTGGTGCCTTTATTTAGGTGATTTTTGAAAAAAAAAACTCATCATTAGCTCTTCAAATAATACCTTTCTTCTTTTCTTTCTATCCTCATTCGAGTATCTATGTTTTCCATGTCTCTTAATTTCTCTTCTGAATTTTCTATTTCTTGATTTTTCTGTATTGCATTATAAATACATTTTTTTCTGAGCTAATTTAGTTCATTAATTTTCCTCAACTCTGCTTAACAGGCTAAAATCATACATTCTGTTTATAATTAAAATAATTTAGCTTTCATTTATAAATATTATGTATAGTTCTTTTTTATATTTGTTATAACACTTTTAAAATACTTTCCCATTACTTGCAAGTGTAGTAAGGCTTATTCTTTATTTTTCTAAACAAAGTAATTATATTATACTGTCTGGTATTTCCAATTATGATTTTAAGGGATTTCCACCTCCTCAAGGTACTTTGTTTCTGTGTATTTTTTGTTAATTTTAATTCCATGATATACATTCTCTTTAAATAAATATTATGGGACTACTTTGATGCCTAAGATGATGGTTTCTTTTTACAGAAAGATTTATGTCCATAGGCAAGTATTGGCATCAATGTCTAGAGTCTTATTAACTTAAATTCATGGCTTAAGGTTTTATTTTAATCATCTAGGTAATATAAATTTGAGTTAAAAATCCACATAACAATCCAGCTTGTGATTATAACTTTAAGCATGGTTTCCCAAATCACTCTTACTCTGCTCACTCCAAAGGCAGGTTTTGTTGCACTCACTTGGGATTAGGAATGTGTAGACTAGGCTTACTTTGCTTTACTCTTACCCATGGATAGAGTCCTTTGAGTTCCAGTTTCTTGGGGGAAGAGATTGGGATTTTGCACCCCTTGCCCACAGATGCCCTCAAAACATGCTCAAATTTGCTATCGTCAGCAAATGTCCTGAGGGTAAAGGAGCCTGATTGTACTGCCTTTGTGTAACTTTAGCATGGTATGTTTAAAATGAACACTTAATGATTTTAATAATATTTTAAGAATATTTCTCAGCAATTTCAGTTTTTTTGTAATGGAAGGGTTTTACAGAACATTTTGTCTGTTAGATGCTGAGAATTACATGTCTCTTGTTAGTCAAGTGGAAATATGTATCTAAAATTTCAGAATGGAGGGCTAACTAGAGGCTACAGTTCTGTTGAGATAGCTCTGAGTAAGTATTAACAAATAAAAATAAAATGCCCAACTTTAATTTACTTTTAAATATGATGAGTTATGGAGTTATGGAGTTAAGAGCCTTGGAAGGCTTTTAATGGAGAATAAATATTCTTCAACTGAAAGATATGTGAATTCAGAGAGTTGTGTTACAAAAATTAAAGAAGTTGAGTGCTTCAAAGTACATGAAATAATCAAATATGTCACATGTTAGCAAGACACAAGTTAAGACTGAAAATATCTATTTTTTCTGTTAAGTTTAATATAATTAATGATTATAGTGAGAACATTTTCTGCAAACCTGGGTTATAGGATTTGGCAAGTGCAGGGATGTTTAAATAGTAGAGATCAGGAATGGTAGTTGTTTGCTCAAGACTACTGACTATCATTAGAAAAGATACTGCTTATTGATTTTAATTTCAAAATATATTAGTTTACACATTTCTCTCAATCTCTACTACTACTATCACCTCTCACATGGACTACTACAAATGTCCTGCAATCACCTTCAAACAGGGCCAATCAGTGTGGTTCCTCTTTGGACCTTCCTGCATTCTTCTGAGATTAACCAAAAGTTCTTTTATAACAGAAATCAACTCTTGTCATTATAGAGCTTAGAACATGTTATTGACTCAATCCTGCTTT